AATGGTACTTACCCTCGGAAGGAAGACTGGGCAATCTACTTCCATTGAGATATTGCCTCGGAAATCCAGGCAGGGGTCGCTATGAGTCTAACTGACTCTATGGCAGTGAGTTTGGTTTTGGTATTTTATGTACCACAGGTTAGCAAAGAGTTAAATTAAAATTTAAATGTTTTCAAATATGAAAAGGTTCAAGATCTAGGTTTTGATTTGTTTGGGTATATTTTTACTATTTTGCTAATAACAACAAGAAGTTCATGGATATCAACAGAAAGCACGGGCAAAAACCATACAGAGGCCTGGGCACCAGCAGGGAGTTAAACACACACCAAGCACTGCCCCCCTCTCAGGCCAGAGCGCAGCCTGCCGCCCAACTTGGAACCAGCACCCTCACTGTCTCAGCTCCCAACATCCCACAGTTCCTTGACTCCAGGCTCTCTGCATTTTTCCTCTTACAAATCCTTGCCCAATTTCCTCAGTTTAACTCAAATCTCTCTTATTTCCAATGCTCACAGGGATGTGACTCTCCCACCAACCTCCTCTCCCCCACCCAGAAATCTAGTTCTTGTAGTGATGTCCAAACTGTTCTTTGCACCTCCCTCCCCACATCTCTAATGCTAGAAGTTTTCTAAACCCACCTCTAAAAATAGATTACACAAAAAGGAAAGAAGGGACACTTTTTGCCTGCCATAAACTCATCTTATACTGTGTCAAAGAGCCATATTATTGTAAATCTATAGTTTATATCCAGATTACAATAAATAATACATAGCTAATCATATTACTTCTGCCTTCACACACTATTGTGCCTAAAGTGTTCAGTGTTACTGACTTATAACGTCCCTTCATCTACGTCCCTTTATTCTCTCACTAACCAGCCCCTTCCACAAAAAATAAAAGACCAAATATTTGAGTTCTCTCATCAGCAAGAAAAAGTTTTTACATCTGCCTGCTATAATTGTGATTCTGTAAAAAGTCACTTCTACCACTTCAACCCTAAAAGGAATCTGATTGGAGCAGTTCCACATTGTCTAGAGTTATTTCAATCCTGTTCTGTGTTCAAGGCCCAGTACCCTCAAAATTAATTCCCTGCAATACACAGCCTCCTTCCACAGTGCCCTCCCACCACCACTTCTAAATACAAACACACTCTCACACAAATAATTCTCTTATACTTTAAAGGGGGAAGAGAGGAGGAGAAGCCCCATAATTGCAATATTAAAAAGAAGTGGCAGGTTGAGAATAATAAGTGATGGTGTCAAAAGTGAAATACAGTAGTAGACTTAAAAAAAAAAAAACTACAGTTCTGTGTTGGGGGTGTTAATTGAACACAGAGAAAAAAGGAAAGAGAGAGAACAAAAGAGTGTTAAGGAAGCAAAAAATAATTTTTAACTTCCTCTAATGATTTGATTTAACTTCAGCACAGATAATACACAAAGGAAAATTGGCTGAAAAGTGCCACAGATAGCTATTAGGTTCTAAAATTAAAAACTATTCACAACAATTACAGCTATTCATTGCTATCTATAAATATTCTCTTTAGTAAATGGCACTCAATTTTTTTGTATTTTCCTAATTTTTAAACCTGCAAGACTTTGACACAGAAGTAAAAAATTAAAACATATTCAAAGTGTTTCTAAGAAATGCAATTATGTTCGACTTTTTTCTCCTCTTCCATCCCACCAATACCACATATACACATATACAAAACTCAGCCTATCAGTAATATGTCAGAAGACAAGGAATGTTTCTTAAAAAACAAAAGAAAATGTGATATTAAATAGTCTAAAACCCTATCTTCAGTCTCTACGTTTCCAAAATGAGCAAGCAGATAAAAGCTACATCTGAAATACACATTGCTGTAGGTTTTGACAGCGTTTTTCTTTCTGCTGTTTGAGATTTGCCGCTTGCACATTGTGCTAGCATTCATTTCTTTTTTTCACCGTTTATTTAAAAAGCAAAAAGGTATCAAAATAAAAACTACCCACATTTGGAGCAAGAAAGACACACGCGTTCTTTTTTTTTTTTTAAATATCCCCACAGTAATTTCTAACTTAAATACCTATCAATCAACTGTAATTTAGATGGTGCTGCCTATTTTGCGTGTTGTGCACTCATATGTTTCTTTAAAGTTCCAAAAGGTTGCTAACACGGTATTAGCTAATTTTCCTATTTACTTCTTAGTCTTTCTACAAAAATCTTCAGCTAAAAAGAAAAACAAGAAAATAGCAAAAGCAGCACATGCATACAATTATCATTTTCCTCTCAGAGTCCTGCCTTTCTTATAATGATCTAGGTGTGGCAAAAGTGTGAGCCTTGGGTTAGAAAACAAACAAAGCCCACCTTAAATCAGGTAACCTGGACAGTGCTTGAGACAGCTCAGGGACGCTACTCAAATGAAAAGGGCTTGAAGGTACAAATAGGAAAAGTCTCAAAACAATGAAGGAATGTAGGAGAACTGATCATTCAAGCAATCTAGCAATCTTTTCACTAGCTCTGTATTTAAAAGCAAAAAAAAAAAAAATGCTCCAGCAACTTTTACAGACACTTTATGTTTCTCTGACATATCAACTGCTGGGAGATATGCTGGTACGCAGAATGAGGGTTCGGCAGATCCTGAGTACGAAGTAATCATGCTTTAGAATCAAAGGTTCTTTTCTACACACCCCAGTTGACTCCCACCTTCAACACAGAGCACTCACACTCAACATTCCATGAGAGGGTTCTTCCTTGCCCTCAATCCTTCCAACAAACAAGTTGAAGAGTAAGAGGGAGATAGGCCATTTTTCCCTCCAACTTTCACCCAGAGGTACCCTCAATTCAAAACTCTGTGTCTGTCTGTGTGTGTGTGTTTTCTCCTGAACACGGGGGCAATGATTCTTACCATTTTCAATTTACACTATTTTATACATATTAAAAAAAAAAATTAGATTTCATTTAGATTTTTTTTTTAAAAAAAGGAAAAACAAAATTTTCCAAACATGAAATGTTTTGACAGAAATTTAAAAAATAAAATATATAACCCAATCCTACAATGCACTATTAGAATGTTATTCTGACCTAATACTACCCCTTCCTATCACTAGTCTTCAGACAATACAAATACAGATCAAACTCTTAACCCATACCTGAACCGGATCTCCATTCACACTGACCCACTTTGATCTACTGCCTCAGTAGGTTTTAATTAGGAGCTTGGAATTAAACACCTTGGCCACAATGTATGTGCAAGTGGCCTGATAGGCTTCCTTTCGATAAATATATGATAAAGTGTCTTCAAAAACTGTCTTTAGCCTGTGTGATCACATATGCCTTTATAGTTTGATTCTACATTTTATGAATCACAATCAGCAAGAACTGATACTTCTTTGGAAGCAAATTTCAATAAACCAAATATTCAAAGTAAATAAGCAATCAAAGATCAATAAAGAAAAAGAGAAGGAAAGAAAAAGGAGAGAGAAGAAGAAGAAATACACACATAGTTAGGTTTCCTGCTCTGGGCTAATAGGAAAAGGGAAAAAAAAAAAAAATACTAAGTGTGACAAACTGAAAAAGCTCTTTTTATATTTGTATCCACAGTCCACAAATCTCTTAAAAGGTATCTGACCGCTAAAATAATGCAATTAACAGCTTTACAATCAGGGTAGCAAAGGGTTGCAAAAAACCAGGTTGGCAATGCAACCTGGATGTCTTAAAGGTCGGCACACCACTGCTCAGGTGGCTTTGTCTAGGATGTTCCGCACAACACAAACAACATTCCACAAAGGAGCTGCTTACTAATTTTGCATACATTTCAAGACCCAAGCAATTACATATCCGATCAACGGTCACATCTTGAAACTATTTATTTTTTAAAGGAGACCCACAGCCAGCTCTCAAGAAGAAAGCCACCCTGTGTGCCCTCTCCCCCCTTTTTTTATGTGTAACTATCAATGTATATCAACCGGGCATGCAATCATATTTATTGTCACTTTCATTCATGTCATGCCCTTGCTTATATGGTTTAGATATGAATTATTGACTGTTACACTCCTTGTTGTGAAAAATAAATAAATAAATAGGATGTCAGGTACTTTGCACTGCTCTAAAGCAAGCAAGTCAGAGCCCAGCAGAAGCTCCCGCTTTACATAACTACCTTCTGTCCCTCATCTTTATGCCCTGGTTTCAGATTGCCTTCTCTACTCTTTCTTCTTACAAGGGAGAGATTTACCCACTTTTGAAAATTAAGGATTAAAATAAACAAACAAGAGGATGTTGCTAAATGTCCCTCCCAGAGCATCTGTTGTTTAAGAACACCTCTGATTGATGACTGCTATTTTTTAATTGTTGCTTTAAAATTTAAATGCCCTCCTGGGATGTGTTATAAGTGTGTTAGTCCACGATATAAGGTCTAGAAAGTAGAAAAACAACAGAATGAGTGATCTCATGGCAATATACGCTGCTAAATACAACCATTCGCCCTGCTATAAAATCACAGGGCACTCAAATACCGATAACCTAATGTTGTATAGCGCTTTCCACAAACGTAGTTGTCAACACTCTCTGCTTTAGAACCTCTACTCTGCTGCTTTGTGTAATTACAAGGAAAAAAGGAAAGGGAACTTCAAACAGTTCAGCCTTCCATGCGCAACTTCAAAAATTTACAGTTTTAAATGTGGGGCAAAATATATTCCATCAGGATCTGGACTTTTACTTTCACATATTTCCCCAAAGGCACACCATTTTATAAATTTCCCTTCAGAACCTGTATTTTAGTCCCAATTTCAAGTAGGCCAGCAAGAGCAAAGGAAAATAAACCTTTTTTATGCTTGATAACTGTCAAAGAAACTTGGTACTTTCTTTTAAAGGAAGCAGCAAGGCTAGGGTATCCTATTAGAATATGTGACCAATACGATAGTGCATTTATTCTGAAATTTTAATATTTAAAGAATGTGTTAGCAATTGCTGGTTAAGTGATTCAAATGGCCAAAGAAAATGTTTAAATGTTGGAATCTCATTCCTACCTGTTTTCTCTTTGATTTCACACAACACATTAAACAAGGCAGGCTTCATTCTGTGGCAGTTTAAAGCATGTTTTCTGCAAGAAAGAAAGAACACGATAGCTTAGGTGGACTTTCAAAATCAAACTGCTGATAATGCACAGGGAAAGAAAAACCTGAACATTTAGCCAAAATTCTATCTCCAGCATAACTCTGCGGCACACGCTTCAGTTGTTTTTATGACTTAATACTCAGAGTCTTGCCATAGAAAAAGAAATAATGTTAATTAGCAGAAAGAGAGTAGGCATTTAACTACAGAACAGAACTCACCTAAATTATGCCCATTTAGGCTAAGTTTGGGTTTTTTTTTTTAAGTCACTTAATCAAAGTGGAATTCCACCAATAATCTTATCCAAGGCAATGAATAGAGCAAAACCAAATGCATGGGTTTAACAGTTTTGTATAATCTATGCAAACCACCACAGCCTAGGAGCTGTCTGCCTTTCAGTCTCTGTGTGTGTGTGTGTGTGTGTGTGTTTTCAAATTTAATTCATCCATGTGTTTGAATTCATTCCACAGATGCTCTGTATTCTCATAAACACAAGATGCTTGAAAGGTCTTCTGAGTAGAACTGTCAATTTATAAAATTTTCAGTCCCCAAGTTAAAGAGTATGGAAATGCATTGCCAGGGGCAAACATACCCATATGGGGAATAAATTCATTTCTCTATGTTCACATTATGCCTCTTGTGCACACATCGCTTATTTGCAGGTGTTGAAATTTAATTATTTACAATTAGAACCTTGCGCCCATTGGGGAAAAAAATAAATACAATTCTGCCTTTTAGATTAGTGATTTACCTGGTTCTTGTGTGTGTGTTTATATTCAGCATGCACTTGAAGAATAAAGCATTACCTTTCCTTTCATTTTACTATGTAGAATCACTTAGAAGGATATTGTTTTGGGAACAAAATACTGATCATATCAGCTATTAGTTAATGGAATTTTGTTCACTAACTAAAATTAATGTGTAAAGATAAGTAGAAACCCCTGGTCCTTAAAACACATGCAATTCTTTTTTAATTCCTTTGAAAGTTAAAAAAAAAAAAAAATTCTCATGAACAGAAAACAGAAGTATGCTCTATGTATAGCAAAGGAGCAATAAGCTCAACATTCAAGAGAGTATACAAATGAGTATACATTGTGTCAAAAATATTAATGGTTTACTTAGTAAATTAAGAAGGTGTGACTGGGAAAAGTAAAAAAGGGCATAGTATTTGCTAAGTAGTGTTACATTGTTCAACCAAAAAGAAAGCTAGGTGGTCATCTGGTCAGTTCTCAATGTGGGGAGACAGAAAGAGGGGGGGTACTTTTTCAGTGTACTAAGAACCTCTTTTCGGCTCTTTAAAAATAGTTTCCATTAATTGTATTCTTATACATAGGTAGAACTGCAAACAAAAATTCCCGTATGGCTTTATGGAAGTATTACATTGCCACAGCATACAAACAGGTTTAGAGAGGAAGAACAGAACATTTCCCCATCCCAAAATTGTATCCTCTCTCTCAGCATCAAGGCCATCAAAAGGGGGAACCCATCAAGCCAGGGTTGGCCTGAGTTTCACTGAAAGGAGAGGTCTCACTACACAGCAGCAAAGTGGTGTCAATTCATTCTCACTGGTCCTTTCCACTTCACAAACTTGTTATGAATCCAGTTTATTGCTATGTCTAAGTATATTTTCATGGAACAATGTAACGGAGAAATCTGTTACAGTTCAAGAAAGAACTGTCAGTGGACAATCTTCCACTTAGCATACCTATTAGATTTTCCTCAGATAATAAAATTCAAAAAGCGCACCAATTAGTTTTTGAAAACTTCCCCAATTTGTAAAAATTTAGAACAGGTTGAGTCTTTGAACATTTCCAAGTTTTCAAGCACCCGTAAACCTCAGCACTTTTGAGTTTACATGTTGCATGTGCGTGTAGCTAAAATAAGACTGAATTCCTAACAGCCACGCTTTTAGCTGCTCCTTCTCATCTTCTCAACTCAAATCCCTGTTTTCCTTAGACACAAATACATATATTGACAGCTTGACCATATAACTCAGTCATTTGAAGTATAGGAATTGTGTGTATATGTTTAAAAGATTTAAAATACTTCTGAGATTTACAAAGCTGGGCAATTGTAGAGACATCGTGGTCATTAGATTTTAAAAATTCTTTCTTTCCAGATCGGCCTTCAGCAAGCTGTGAGTGAACTGCCATTTAGCCTGTTTTATTTTGAAAGAAAATTTGCTGTAAAATCCTACTGTGGAGAACTATAGATCTCACCATGGATTAAGTTAAGGAGCTACACAGCTTCTTTATTATGTTTTCTTAACGAAGATCTTCATGGCCTACAGTACTGAACTATATAAAATTCACATATGCTTTCATTTCTATTTAGTTGTATTGTAAGTGGTCCTGAAGGAAGCATGGGGTAAGGAGCATGCTTGAGTTTTGTCCCCCACCCCTTTTTAAAGGACCATACATAGCTGTCTGTGTCACTGAAGGTTAGTAAACTGTTTCAAATTAAGACACAATAAAGTTAAACTAAACATGAGTCTCTTGAAACTAACAAGTATGTCTAAAAGCAAAATTATCTTTTCTTTTTTGGGGGGGGGGGGCAGAATTAAATGAATTCAAAATAGCCTCTGGATAGCTGACAACTACTGACAAAGAAATGCCCTGTTTTGTTTTCTTGCTTCTTTAGGAGAAGGAAAGAAAAAACGGTAAAAAATTAATTTTGGAGTGGTAAGTCAAGAGAGAAAATCAAAAGTCGCTTAATTAGCCAAAGAGTCAACTAAATTTGCAAATAAAGTGTTCTTGGGACATTTTATTTTGTAGGGTTACGGAGTCTCTCAACAAGGAGGCATAGAATGCTGTTCAAAACTTGACAATTCTGCTCTCTCTGATACTTTTTTAAAGCAGTAAAAAGTGCCGAGGGCCGCTTTTGGATCAGTTGGCAGCATTTTCGTCGACCCTGAGTGTTAGTGTAGATATACATATGAATATCTCTATATTCACACACATACACACAAACACACACACAAGATATACATACATATATATATATACATATATATATATATATATATGTACACAGCCACATCACCGCATGGGCGATTACACTTTCGATAACAACGCTCCTTTAAATTTTACTCCTCCGCCATGTAGTTGTTCGCCAAAATGGGAAAAGAAATAACATCTAAAAAGAAAGCGCTGTGGTGATCGGTTCCCATTGTTTCCCCTGCGAGAGGGAGAAAAACAAAACAAAACAAAACAAAAAAACCAAGAAAGGAAAAGAAAAGCCTCCATCTCACCTGGCCTGCGCCTCATCCAAACTCTGGTCTGTGATGGTCATAATTTGCTGTAAAATGTCTCCAATGTCCTGCTTCCTCCCGCCCTCCCCCTCGGTCCCTCCGGCCCCATCCTGTAAGTGCTGGGACAGGCCGGGGTGTCCGGCCATCCCGACCCCAGCATGGGAATGCATCAGCCTGGGCTGCTCGTCCATCTCCAAAGGCAACGGCAGCCCCCGGCTCTTCCTCTTCTGCTCCTCGGCTCGGCTCCTGGGAAGCACCAAGGCTTTTTATCCTTCAAGCTGTCTTCAAATCCTTTTCAGGATAAGCAGGGAAGGGGGAAAAAGAAGACCAAAAGAAAAAAAAAAAATCCCTTTGCCTCTTTAGAGGATGGTGGGAGGATGGGGAGTGGGGAGGGGGAGGGGGGCGTGAAAGGGTTGCGGGGTGAGGGTGGGGATAAGGGCTGGTGGGGAAGGGTGTTGACTCCAAAAAGCAAGAAAAATAAACCACCTTCCCACTTGGCGAAAAGAAATCAGAGCTGGCTTTTGGTTTTTCAGTCCGGTCTCCTTTGCAAGGCAGAAATGGGCTCCCGGCGCTTAAATCTGTGGCTTAATCCTTTTGCAAATATGCATTGATCGGGAGAAAGGAGCGGAAGGCAGGGGGATTGCAATGCAAACTTTCCCCCCCACCCCCCCCCCCCCCCCCACCCCCCCCAGCCCCCCACCCCCACTCCGGGCCAGAGTGATCTCAAAGGGGGTGGGCTGTTGCAAAAGCCAGATCTCCCCCAGCCGCGGCGGCAGGCAAAGCACAGGCTCTCTTCTCCTCCGTGTCTCTGCAAACTCCAGCAGCCCCGTCAGCCTCCTGCTTTTGTTTAGCTCAGGCTCAGGACTCCAGAAACATATACAGAAAAACCACAGCCTGAGAGGAGGAGGAGGAGGAGGAGGAGGAGGACGAGAAGGAGGAGAGGGGAGGAGGCAGAGGACAGGGAGGAGGGGGCGGGGAAGCCAGGAGGCGGGGGAGAGAAGGATGGAGGAGGGCGCCCAGGGCCCCACCCCCTTCCTCTGATTGGTCATAAGAGAAAAGACGGGCTCCTCCTCCCTCTACTTTCCTCACTGCACCTCCTCTTCGGCCTCCTTCGGCTCCTCCTCACCCGGCGCCCTGTCAATCAGAGTTCAGAGGTGGGCCGGGAAGGAGGCTGAGCTAATACCAAGTCTCCAGTCCTTAAAGGTGCAATGGTACCTTAGTTCCAGCTCCATTAATCGGTTTCCACTTTTCTTTCTCATCTTTCTCAGGTTCAGTCCTTGAGGAAAACGTGGCTTCACTTAAATGCAAATGCACAGAATTAACACGAAAGAACACAGTGGATCTTGGATTGTCCCCATTTTTGTTTTGCTGTAACAGTGCTACTTAAAACTTGAATCTTTTAAGTCCTTAGAACTTAGGGAAATTGTTGGGAGCAAACGTTTGTCAGCATGAAGTAGTTATGAAAACGAATCAAACTTAATATAATTAATAATGATCACTGATAAACATCAGATAAAATGATAGATAAAAACAACCATCACAGTAAAGTTAAATACTTAACTGTGACATTTTTGTTGCTTGAAAATTAATTATGGACTATGAAACTAAATAACGCTGAAGAAAAGAAGATTAAGAAATAAGTTCACCAAAGGAAACTAATTCAACAGTTCTTTCCCTTGCCCCTAGGGGAAATTAGTTATTTGGCTTAAATACTTAACAAAGAAATGCATTATCACAGTCTGGTTCTCCTTTTTAATATAGTATAATAAGCATTATTAACTGGGAGAAGGGAACTGACATTTATTGAACGCCTACTATGCACCAAGTAATTTACATGCATTATCTTATTTAATCCCCAAGACACATCTGTGAGTTATGGCTTATAATTTCCATTTTACAAAGAGAAAACTCAAAAAGGTTAAATAACTTGTCCAAGTTTCCACAATTATTAAGTGTCAAAGCTGGAATTCAAACCCAAGTGTGGTTTTCTCCAAAAGCATGATGTTTCCACTATAGAACCTGCCTCAGTCTAATGGAAGTATGAATAGCGTGAATATTCAAACAAACAAAAAACTCACTGCCATCCAGTCCATTCGACTCACAGTGACCCGTCCTTGGCTTTCCGAGGTGGTGTCTATACAGAAATAGATTGCCCAATCTTCCTTCTGAGGAGTGGCTGGTGGTTTGAACTGCCAGCCTTCTGGTCAACAGTCAAATGCTTTAGGCACTATACCACAAGAGCTCCTAGTGTACTTATGTATAAATTGCCTCCTTTGTTTAAGAAGAGACTTAAGGTGCTTCCAAAACCAAAAAGCAAACCAGTTACTATGGAGTCTGACTTATGGCAACGCCATATGTGGCAGAGTAGAACTGTGCTAGTCTGCTGAGGGCCCTTGGGTGTGTTTGAACTACTAGTCTTTCAGTTAGTAGTTGAAGGCTTATCCAAGGACACATATTTAAGGAAGATGACTCAAATTGAAAATGGGTGGGAAAGAATAGAGAAGAACAAGAATAGAATGGAATTAGGAAAAAAAGAAAAAAGTTATAAACTCATAGCTCAAGTAATACACTCCAGCTTTAGATGGACCACAAATTTGCATCTAATCTTTTTACTAGCAAGGGCGGCCAAGAGAGGAAATCTGCTTGGTTACACAGTCACAATGTCCATGACACAAAATATAGTAGACCAATTACTCAGGAAAAGCCCAACATATTTAGAAACAGGGAATATTCTACTATATAGCCAGTCCTCTCCATGGATGGCAGTATAAACCAAAACCAAACTCAGTGCGGTCAAGTCAATCCCAATTCATAGCAACCCCTCCTTGGGTTTCCGAGGCAGTATCTCTATGGAACTAGGTGGTATCTCTATGGAAGTAGACTGCCCAATCTTCCTCTCCAAGAAGTGGCTGGTGGGTTTGAACTACCAGCCTTCTGGTTAGCAGTCAAATGTCTTAGGCACTATGCCACCAGAGCTGGATGGCAGTATAGCCAAAGGAAATTCATTGAACCACTGCAAACCTCAGATATCACAATATGCAAAATGGATGGCAGTCTTGCCAGGTGCTTTGAAATCCTCAAGTAAAATGTTATTCTTTTCAACACTCCAGCCTCATTCCTAATCATTACACAAAACAAGTTTGGCAAGATAAGAAGCACTTATGAAAGCATTTTGAAGCAGTTCTTAACAAGCTACTTGGCACTTCTTCATATGAGGGCATGCAATAGTGAGCATTAACTGTAATTACAATGTCCTATTACTTAATAACAACTGTTTTATTCACATACATACCCTGACTTGTAACCTGTTAGTTTTATCAACACTGATTAAACGTTGAGCACTAAACTATATCTTCAAATTACATATCACAGTGTAAGTTAGCATATCCCTTACAATGGTGTAAGTTATCACATCTTAAAGCATGAAATGAAATCAACTGAGAGCCTATAAAAAATCAGTTTGTCTCACTGCAAGCTTAACAAAAGCACAAAAGACAAAGCATTAGAAAAGGTATCATGAATACAAGAAGGTCATTGTCATAAAAGAATATTCTAGTAAGGAAGTTAGAAATGTACATAATAGCTAACATTTATTAAGTACTTACTATGGTTAAGTATTATATTCAAGATTCTTTATGAATTTAATATCAGTTGTCTGATCTGAATAACTATGCATTTCACCAAATATGTTTCAATGCAAAATAAATGCTAAGGCATTTGACTGCTAACAAGAAGGCTGTGGGTTCAAACCCGCCCACCACTCCTCAGAAGGAAGGTTAGGCAATCTACTTCCATAGTGACACCGCCTCGGAAACCCAAGGAGGGGTCACTAAGAGTCGGATCTGACTCAACGGCAGTGAGTTTGGTTTGACTTGGTTTATAGAAGAGATACCCTCATCTGGAAACCATATAAAGGATTAGAGAAGGGAACAACTCTGTTAGGATCATTAGAAGTAGACTTTGAGATTCCAATGGCATACAATGGCAACGGTATTTTGTTACATGTTGTCAGGTACCATCAGAACCTGCTTCATAGCAACCCTATGCACAATAGAACAAAACACTCCACAGGTCTGTGCCATCTGCACAATTGTTGGGATTTATGTTTGAGTCCACAGTTGCAACCACTGTGTCATTCCATCTCATTGACGGTCTTCCTCTTTTTCACTGACCCTCTACCAAGCATGATATTCTTTCCTGATAATATGAACAAAGTATGTGAAACAAAGTATTGGCATCTTTGCTTCTAAGGATTCTGGCTGTATTTCTTCCAAAAACATTAGTTACTTCTGCTGATAGTTTGTGACATTTTCAACATTCTTTGCCAACACCATAATTTAAAAGCATCGATTCTTCTCTAGTCTTCCATATTCATTGTCCAGCCTCCACATGCATTGAAAATAACATGGTTATTGAAAATAACACAGCTTGTGTTATGTGTGCTTTAGCCCTCAAAGTGGCATTTTTGTGTTTGCATACTTTAAAGAGGTATTTTGCAGCAGATTTGCCCAACACAATGCAACATTTGATTGCTTGGCTGCTGCTTCCGTGGGCCTTGATTGTGGAGACAAGTAAAATAAAATCCCTGTCAACTTCAATCTTTTCTCCATTTATCATAATGTTGCTTATTGACCCAGTTGTGAGGATTTTGTTTTCTGTATGTTGAGGTGTAATCAATACTGAAGGCTATTGTCTGATCTCCATCAGTAAGTGCTTCAAGTCCTCTTTGCTTTCAGCGAGCAAGTTTATGTCATCTGCATATCACAGGTTCTTAATGAGTCTTCCTCCAATCCTGATGTGGCATTCTTCTTTATATAGTCCAGCTTCTTCGATTATTTGTTCACCATACAGATAGAATAGTTATAGTGAAAGGGTACAACCCTGATGCATACTTTTCCTGATTTTAAGCCACTCAGTAACCCCTTCCTCTTTTCTAATGACTTCTTCTTGCTCTATGTACAGGTTCCAAGAATTGACGGAATACCCATTGAGATATTTCAACAAACGGATGCCGCACTGGAGGCACTCACATGGTTATGCCCAGAGATTTGGAAGACAGCTACCTGGCCAACTAACTGGAAGAGATCTATATTAGTAGCCATTCCAAAGAAAGGTGATCCCACAGAATGTGGAAATTATCGAACAATATCATTAATACGGCACGTAAGTAAGATCTTACTGAAAATAATCCAAAAACAGTTGCAGCAGTATATTGACAGAGAACTTCCAGAGGCACAAGCTGGATTCAGAAGAGGATGTGGAACAAGGGATATCATAGCTACTGTCAGATGGATCTTGGCTCAAGGCAAAGAATACCAGAAAGATGTTGACTTG